AGGATTCATGTCCAAAGGTGAGCCGGCCGCCGGGGCACGGGCGCCGGCCGCGAGCAGATGCGGCCCGAAGAGCCCGGCTGGCGGTGCTACCGGGGGAGGGTGGCAGCGCCGCGGAGCCCACGCGCGGTGGCATATGCACGGGCACACGGCGGCGGCACTCGTATCCGGAGAGATGCACCCCCGGGGCGCGGGCCAGTCGAGATCCGCGGCGGGCGCACGAGCAGGGTCCTGAGGCGCGCAGATGCCCCGGGCGGAGCGGCGAGACGCGCACACGCACACCGCGCGCAGGTATCGGGCGCCACACCAGCGCCACACCAGCTCAGACCGGCGCCCACGGGCGGCGCGCACCCTGGCACCGGCACCCGCTGGTGGTCTCCAAGGGAACTGGGTGGCCCCCGAGGGCTGGGGTCGGAAGAGGGCTCCCAGCGCCCTCTGCTCCTGCCGGGGCAAAAGGACTAATACCTTTTGTGACTCTTTTCCTAAAAGCTGGGGCTGGGGTGGAGAGAATGGCCTCTGTGGGTGGGGGTGGGGTGGTGAAGCCCCCAGCTGGGGGCTGGGGAAGGTCTCCCGCTCAGGATGGGAGGAGGACCCCTGCCCCCCCCCAGGCAGGTACTGTCCTGGAAAGGTTCCCTCCCGCTGCCACTTCCCAACAGGGTGGGGTCCCTGGGCCAGACAAAGAAAAAGCCTTTCACTTGCTGGGAAAAAAAACCCAGGGTCTTTGCTGGCCTGGAGGTGCGGGTGTTCTCTGTGGGTACTCAGTCAGCGGAGGCAGGTGGACAGTGCCTCTCCCTGGAACATTCCTGGGCCAGGTGGCTCCTGGCAGGGGGTGCTGCACACAGATCCCCTCCTCTCCAGGGATCAGGGGTGGCAGGGAGCTTAGGAGGGCCTCGAGGACCATGTGGCAGGGTGGCGGGCTTGAGCTGCGTCCTGCTGTGACCCCATCTGGAGCCCTTTCCAGCCCTTGGAGAGCCCCCTCGGCTGGCTCCCTGTTGCCAGGGAGAGAGACCGTGGCTCTTAACAATCCGCTCCCTTGCCTGGCGACACTGGCTGGCGGTTGCCCTGCCGAGGGAGTGGCATCTGGGGGCCCCAGGCTGGTGCGCTTACCCAGCCAGCATTCATTGCTGAGGGTCCGTGGGATCGCTGCCTCGGCCCTCCCTGCCCGAGAGGTGATTGATGTGTGTCTGCTAACGTGCATCCGGCACAGCTCCCCGACCGGGAAGGGCCTACCGCCTCTTCTTGAGAAAAGGGAGGCTCACAGGGGTCACCCAGCTACGATCAGCCTGGGTCAGCTGCCCATCTTGGTGTGGAGGGACCAGAGAGGCCTCAGGGGCAGGATGAAGCTGCAACACCAGCCCCAGAGTGTTGGCCGTGCCCTGGAAGCCCCCACAGCCAGCATCTGGGGGAGGGGGAGAACCTGTCTGGGGCCCAGAAGCTTCTGGGTGTTGCGGCGTGGTGGGGGTAGGTTCCCTCTGGGCACAGAAATGCTACCCGGGTGGGAGGGGTGAGCGAGCGAGTGAGGGAAACAACGAATATGGCTGGGACTGAGCCTCGGCCAGGCAGCAGGAGGAGGGCGCCCACATCACCGGGCGGCCAGTCGGGGCACCTGGGACCTTGGGAGCGAGGAGGAAGAGCAAGCCTGGCCGGGCAGGCCAAGAGTCCCGGCGACTATGGCCCAGCACCTGTCTCGGCACTCGCGGCTGTTGGGCGGTGGTTAGCCGCGGCTGGGGTGTGGTTGGCACGGCTGGAGGGCACCTTGCCGCAGGTACGCAGCATGGTGCCAGTAGGCGCCCGCAGGCGGGACGAAGGCGAGGTGGCTAGCTCACCAGCCGCACCCGCGCCAGCCCGCGGCGCCTCGGGATTGGCCTGCGCCCTGGGCATGCCTCTGGGCGTGATCTTGTGGGCCGCGGCGGCACAGGAATCCTTAGAGAAACTCCTGCCAATTAAACAGGGCTCACTTTCCAGATCTGCAAAATGGGGTGAGATAAACTGCCCCCCACAGACGGTGGAGATTCGGGGGCTCAGCTGTGCAGGCAGGAGGAAACGGGAAGGGGAGCAGGGGGCGGGGGCTCGGTGGGCCTGCAGGGGAGGGGGCGCAGCGGGGTGCTGAGAGTCAGCCGCTGCCGTCAGGGGCCTCCTGGCTGACACCTGCTTCCTGGGCAGCGGAGGGGGCCGAGGCCTTGTCGGTGTTGGTTGTGCTTGAGAGTGACCGGGAGCAAAGCTTCCCGGTGGGAGAGGGAGTCTTGCCAGGACCCGCGGAAAGGCCAGGTGGCGGGGTGTGAGAACGGAGTCCTGGGGTCCTGAGGGGCGCTTGGGGGCACGCCTGTGCCCTCTCCCCATCTGCTGCTCTGTCTGTCCTCCCCGAGAGCCTATGCTCGGTGGCGTGGCGCTAACTACAAACCAGGCGGCTCGGAGCATCTGGGCAGCCGTCACCAGGGCCGTGACATGCACTGTCCATGTCCCTGCGGCGGGCCAGCTAGAGGACTGCCCCTCTAGGGCAGGGGAGGCGGCCCGGGCCAGAGGCGCTCTTCCCGCTGCTCTGTGCACCAGGCTTCAGGTCACCCTCCCCGCAGCTACACCGTGACCCTCAGCCCTTCACGGACGAGGGGGCAGGCCACGCGGCAGGGCCCCCATGTGCACACCGCTGGCGGGCAGAGCCAGCCTCTCCCCACTCACACGGGGCACACGGGCGCCTCAGGAGCGGACACAGCCAGGGCCTGCCCGGCCGGCCATTGCTCTGCCTCACCTCTCTGCCTCCGCCACGGCGCCCAGCACTCGCTGGCCACCCGGGCGGTCACCCTCTCCTTGCTGGTGGGAAGGGGGCTCATGCCTCTCCCAGACGCCCCCACGGCCAGGAGGGCGTCTGGGCTCCCGAGGCGGCGGGCGTACGAGCGGGCCGAGGCCAGTGACAGACAGAGGCCCAGCCCCCTCGGGCTTTGCCCTTCACGGGAGGATGTGGGGCTCAGGCGGGAATCGCCCCGACATGCTCGCGGGGCCCCCATTCTGGCATTGCTGCCCAGGGGCATAAGACACCGTCTGGAGGTGCTTTTAGTCGTCAGCCACACTGGGGAGCTTATACCAGCCTCTGCTAGCGGCCCGCCGCTCTGGCTCTGTAAAGCACAGCCCCGCCCCCCACAATAGCGCCGGGCCCGCCCGGTGTCACACACCAAGGTGCAGGAAGCCGGGACTGGATCTGGCGGGGCCGGGGGTGTGTTTGCGAGAGGCCCAGGCTGGGTGGCCGCACGGCCTTTCCCTGCTGGGCTTCTGCCCGGCACCGGGTGGCATCTTAAGTCCCTTCCCGTCCTCGGTCTGGATGTCTTCCGGCCTCCACTTCTGTCCAGCCCACCCGGCCATCTCGTCTTTGCAGGGCTCCCAGAGACCAGGACGGACGCAGCCATGTCAGAGCTGGTGCCCGAGCCCAGGCCCAAGCCGGCAGTGCCCATGAAGCCCGTCAGCATCAACTCCAGCCTCCTGGGGTACATCGGCATCGACACCATTATCGAGCAGATGCGCAAGAAGACCATGAAGACCGGCTTCGACTTCAACATCATGGTCGTCGGTACGGGAGGTCCCGGGGCCCCGGGGTGCGGGCGGCACTGAGGGTGTGCCTGTCCCTTAGCCCTGGCTTCTGGGGTGGGAGTGGGGCGCGTGCCCAACTCCCCTCAAGGCCGGGAGCTTTGGGCCCGGTGTACACTGCAGCCTCACTCCGCTGCTCCCAGTTCCGTGACCTGAGGGTGTCACCTGACCTCCACCTCTGTGCCGGAGGGTGGGGCGCGGTGGTGCGCTTTCCAGGACGTGGGTCACTAAGCCACTGCGAGGCACCAGGAGGGCCCCTTTGACTCCACGAGGTGTTGACTCGCTTGGAGAAACAGGAACCTGGGCTTCTCCCTGTTCTCTGCCGCCCTCTCCCCGGCCCACGAACCAGCACGTCCTGCCCACCCGACCCGCTGGTCTCCGTCCCCACCAGCACCCCAGGCCGGGCTGGCTCTCACCTGTACCGGCGCCAGGCTGCGCTGCTCCAGGGCAGGAGCTGGGCCAGGGTGAATCATCTAGATTTTGCTGTCACGACACATCAGCTGAACTAAACAGAGTGCTTGGGGACAGCTGGTTTACTTTCTGGTAAAGCTTTTCCTCTCGAGCGTCAGTGGCAGGTGGCCCGGCCCAGCCACCCTGTGTGACACGTGCCCTCCTGGACCTGCGTCCCCTTCCTTGGGGCCGCCCCTGAGTGGTTTCCCGACCCGCCAGGCCCTCGGGCCCTCGTCCTGCGTCAGACTCCGCAGCGCCCTGCGTTCCCTTCAGGAGAAGTGCAGGCGCTTGCCTCTCTCCTGGATGCTCCCGCGGGCGTCCCCTCCCCCCGGGGACGTCCCCCGGGCCTTCCCTGCGCCTCCTGCCCTGAGCGTTTGCACGCGTCGTCCCAGCTTCTCGTGGGCTGCTGGACGGACGGCTTTGGCCCCTCTAGCTTGTGGCCGCTGCCTCCGGAGGGGCCTCCTTGGTTCCCGGGACTGGGTCGGCGCCCGCGGGTGTGTGGTCAGGCCCTGTGGTCAGGCCCTGTGTGAGCGCTCCGGGTGGTCACCACGCACCGCCGCTGCCTGTGTTCTGGGCGCCCCCGTGGTGAGCCACGACGTCCCGCCACCGCTGCCTCCGAGCGTGGCGCTTGCTGCTCAAGAATACCCAGTGACCAGTGGCCTTTGGAAATACGCAGACCGAGGAGCGTGAGCCCCAAGATGCTCGTCTCCCCAGAAGCCCAGGGCAGGTGTCGCCCCCGCCCCCGGCGCCTCCAGCCTGAGCCCAGGCGCAGCCCTTCCGAGCCCCGCTTCGCTGGCCCCTGGAGGGACACCCGCCCTGGCTTGCCGTCCTGCCCCCTCCTGTGAGCAGAGGCTAACTGCCAGAGCGGCCGCTTGACCGGGCCACTGGACCCATGTGCCTTTCCTGGAGCCACGAGAACCTCCAGTGCTCAGCGCCCCGGGCCAGCTCACGGAGAATCCTGTTAGGATGCAGATTCTGAGCCACAGGGCAGGGGCCGGCCCGCGCCCCCCACGGGCGCCAGGTGGCCCCTGTGCTCACCCCCTGCAGCCCAGCCCCAGGGACTCTCGCACCGAAGGTTTGAGAAGCGCTGCTCGGACCAGCGGGTCCAAACGCTCTTCCCTTTGCCGCGCAGCTGCTTCCGGCGTGAGCCCTGCACGTGTCAGGAGCTCTAGAGAACCAGCCGGGGGCGGAGGGGACGCCCAGCCCACGCAGCTCCCTCCTCCCCCGTCCCGAGCCGCGCGTTGACCTCGCGGACGCTGCCGCCACAGGCAGGGGTGACGAGCCCAGGGCGCGCTGGGCTGGGCCCTGGTTGATGGGTCGTGGCGGGGGCTGGCCTTCCAGCACCCCTCCGCTGGGCTCCGCTGGGCCGGGGTGCTGTGAGGCGGGCGTCGCTCACGCGCACGAGGCGGCAGCAGCGGAATGTACAGCGTGGCCACTGTCAGTGTTATCAAAGGGGAAAAACGCAACTTGAGCAGAAAGCC